GACACCAAGAACAGATGGTATAGTGATTTTCCAAGTTTAGCACAAGGCATGGGGCAACCAGTGAGAATCGAACTCACTACCCGCACGTAATTGTTCTAGTGAGACAAGCTTGCTAACCATTACACCGCCTCGAGGTGCCCCCAAAATCTGATGGTATAGTGGGATAACGAAAGATGCCTTCCAAAATGTAAGCAAAGTACTAAGAAACAGCAAAATCTCGTTAGAAACTAAGAAAAGAATAGTTACTAATGTAATATCGATCCTCTTATATGGCAGTGAATATTGAACAATCTCCTCGAATATGAAGAAAATTGAAACAGAAATATGATTCAACAGAAGGATGATAAGAATGTGATGGACTAAGCATGTAAGCAAAGTTTTAGAGAAAATAGAAACCAACAAGATACTTAGGCTTAACATCTGAAAAACGCAATTAATCGGGCACATAATGAAGCAAAAGGACTTTAAGAATTTGATACTCACAGTTCATATTGAACGTAAGAAGGACAGAAGAAAACGGCGCATAATCTACCTAAGGATTTTTAGTAAATGGTTCGGAGGACAGGGATTAAGAGAGATGGTGAAAAGACAATATTTAATAAGAGCTACAAAGGACAGAAAATTGTGGAGAGCCACGATCATCCTAGTTCTGAAAGAACACGGCACACTGAACAAAAAAGTCCAATGCCTGTTAGCCTGGATAATTGATCCCTATTGTTCTCGATCATTAACTGTTCCATATCGCTCGGAATGAGAAATCGGAGAGCCGAGTTCGAATTCCATTCGAGTTAGTTACATCCACTTTCGTGCAAATACTCTTGGGAAAGATAATAATCCATCTTCTCCACCATCTATGGGTTAAATAGTAGGACATGGATCTGGAAAAATCATTATTATTTTCCAAAAATTGTTAATGCTATACTTGTAAAATAAAGAAATATTCTTACAATCCAAAAATACACTTCAGTTTTATATAACCCACAACGAGTTGATAAGCCGTAAAAATCAAATCAATCACTCACAATACGAAAAAATTGAATGACGTTCTCTCCCATTCAGACTATTTCAAACCGATTTCAGCAACTAAGGAACTAGGGTTGGGTCAAAATGTTAGTCACTGGAACTCCTAGACATCGAGAGAATGATGTCTTAAAGATCGGGACATGATATGTCCAGACACTCTACAGCAGTGGTTCCCAAACAGTGCGGCGCGCTTCATCCCTGCGGTGGAAGAGGATAACAGGTGAGGCGTAATGATTGAAAGACAATCAAAGATTTAGAAACAGTTTCATAATATATATATATATATGCTAAAAATTTAAAATATTATTATGGATTACTTGTAATTGCATGTATGAGTCCCAGTACAAATAATCATAAATAATTGTTGACCGATTTTATCATTGTGATATTTTTGCATTATATTAAATATTAAGAATATAATAACTAGGAACCATAAATTGGAGGAGAGAGTTATCAATGATAATGCTTTGACTTCGGATCTGCGGTTATTTTCCTTTAATCTTTTCTCTGCTTTTCTTTTATTTTTAAATGTACTTTTTATCCCATGAATTTTGGTGAGGCGCGAGCAAGTTTTCATTCCGAAAATGCGGCTAAGAGAAAAAAAATATTTTGTGATTCACTGCTCTACAGTGTTGGCAAACTAGAGATGCTGAAGTATGAAAAGAGAGCTTGCTCCTGCAACTAGGTGAAATACGTCGACTAAGACACGGCACAAATAAAGTTAACCTAATTTCTGGAGATCGGTATTTCAAATTTCAAATCTTCGTTTCACTGAGTATGGACAGGAACAACCTCTGACTCCTGCAGCAATACGCAAATGAAACTAGATAATTTTTTCATTCAGCTACATTCAGCCTTGTGACACATTCCATTTCTGTGAGAGAAATAAAAAAAAATTAATAAATTTACTAAAAGAAATACTTTTTTTTAGTAATTTCACCCCAAGCAAGACAAAGCCACTATGACACAAGATTTACTGAGTGATTGAGCATATGAGAAAACTACTAATAAGGAGCGAGGACAATAAAAGAACAGGAATTATGACAAAAGATATCGATTGGCATTGCATTTAAATTTTTGAAGATCAAATTTGACTGGGGAGCAAGAACCCGGAAGAGAGTTCCATAAGCAAGAAGTGTGATAGAAGAAAGTGTTAGCATAGAACTTACGGTTATATCCAGCCATTTCAACTGTAACATGATGAGACCTTGCCGCCAATCTAGTACTGCGCCTAAACTTATAAATTCTAGGTACCATAGTGCAAAGTTCATCAGAACAATTACTATGAAAGCATTTACAAAAAAGGCACAGGGAAAATACGTTACGGCAGTAGGAAAGGGACTAAAGCCGAGATGCCAGGTCAGGACCAATAACATTGCAGATTCTTTGGATTTTATTTGGAATGAAAAGAACTAAACAATTAACATAAACTTCTTGTATACCCCTTTTTTCTTTATACCCTTTCTTTATATCCTATGTTAAAATCACTCATTATTTCAGAAAAGATTTTCTATTGTATTTCTTCGACCGTCTTTACATTACGATCACAACACAAAGTGATGGAAATTTTGACCCTGACGACTTTTCTGTTACTGCAATTATTTTCTTCAACGTGTTTGGCCTTTCCCACTTGTCCTTGGTATGCAAGCTTCAACAAGTGCATCTTCCATATAGACGCCATTAAAATCCTAGAAAATGCTTTAATAATGCTTACGCGGCCACAGCAGAATTATCGTGATTTGATGCAAAGTACGCGTTGATTGGTTGTTTAGCCTCGAACTACGTCATTTCTCGTAGTAACCATTCCACAGCAGCAACGTCAGTCTCTATGGTGACCAGTGCACAAATGTCGCGATTTGAAAATGAGTGAACGAAGACATGGCTTAACGTAAAGCATTCGTAAGGTTTGTTTGTTGGGATTTGTCCAATGACGAAATTAATAAATAAAACACATCGACACTATTATGAGTCATGAAACCTAAAGCATATTTCTGGTTTGGTTTGGTTTGGTTTATTTTGTTTTACAGCATATCAACCTCAACGGGTAATTTAATGCCGAAAGGATTTTTAGGATAGGTTCGTATGAATAGAACATGTCGTCTTTGTAAGAAATCAGTTGTAGATCAGTTTTATTGACATATTTTTGATGGTAGTATATTTTTTCAAAATGTATTGCAGGTATTTTTACTATAAAAATCTATTTTTATATTTTCATAGTATTTGACTCCGGTTTGGGGGTTAACTATTTGCCCATAGCTGGGACCCTAACAGGTACTACCACCTCGGGTCAGGATGGGCCTTGGAACAACAACAATTAAGAGGTGGTTCCACGCTCCTCAAGACCTCCTGATGAGAGGCCTTGCTCCAAGATGTTGTTTATCGTCATACCTGGTATAAACTATTGTGTTTTGTTTCATATTAGCATAGAAGTCAAAAGCAGCAAAATGAGTTCGAATTTCGACTGAGGTTGGTTGCATTCTCTTAGCACTAATACACTTAATAAAGGCATGTGTCTATATTTCCCTGTACTCTAAACATGTATTACATCGATATACAAGACTGTGTGCTAGTCAACGAAACAGAAATCAAAATTTATAAACCTAATTACGCTTGAGGCTGCTTCCATTTACTTAGCATTAACACGCATGGAAAAGGCGTGAGACCACATCTCCCTGTATTCTACATACGTACTATACAGATGTACAAATTAATGAAATATTTATAGTATATAAACCTAGTTCGAAATTCGGTTAAAGCTGCTTCTGATTATTTAGCATTAACACTTTTGTGAGAGGCATGAATCTATATATGCCTGCATTTTATATAATTATTGCATACAAGTACTAGGTACTTATCATCACAAAAATCTAAACTTATAAACCGAGTTCGAATTTTGGTTGAGACTGCTTGCGATCATTTCGCACAAGCCACATCCCTGTTTTCTGTCCCCTTGCCAAATATATTGACAAATAAGACAGAGAAGTAGTAACTGTAAAAAGTGGTCAACTTCTTGTTAATATTGACACGGAGATAATCAATCAATCAGCCAATCAATCAATCAATCAGTTTGATTTAATTTGAAAGCGAAAAAGTAGATTGATCGAGACCCTGTTAGTTGGTTGATTTTGTTTAGCGGCATATTAACACCTCTATGGGTTATTTAATGCTAAAATCTAAATATTTTATACGTAATTTTATACTTTCAACTACAGATATTTTGTACATAATTTTATATTTTCAGAGTAATGGTATATTTTTTTATAGATATATAGTTTGTAGATCATAAAATGTATTATTGGTAATTTTACTATAAAAATGTATTTTTATATTATTTTAGTGTTGCATTGATTGTCATATTGCTATAAAAATGTATTGGTGGTCATTTTATTATAAAAAATTTACTGTTGATTTTTGTTTGGGGATTCGCTATTTGCCCATAGCTGGGACCCTAACAGGTGCTACTACCCCGGTTCAGGGTAGACCTGGGAAACCAGCAATTAAGAGGTGGTTTCACGGTCCTCAAAACATCCAATATCCCAATCAGAGTCCTTGCTGTCGGATGTATTTTATAGTCATACCCAGGACTCGAGACGCTGTAAGGAGAAAAATAAAGATGAGGAAACTGAACCGAACGATTTGTGTAATTCATCTCAAAACTTCAAACAATCAATTTTCTTCGAAAGTTGACCTTATCTCCGTTTTATGATTGATTCTTTCGTTTTCTACGGCTTATCAACCCTTTGTAAGTTATTTAAAGCCAGAAAATATTTTTAGATTGTAAGAATTTTTTGTGGTGGAGGATAATAATGATTTAGTGAACACGTTCTACTAATTAACCAATAGTTTGGGGAAGAAAAGTGAATTCATGCATTTCCCAATGGTATTTGCGAATAAGTGAATATAACGAACCCAACAAGAATTGGAACTTGGCTCTCCGATTAACAATTCCTAATCATTACACCAGTCGCACATCAAAGCTTACAGAACCTGGTATTCGCCAGCGGTCACCCATCAAGGTACTGACCAAGCTCAACGTCCCTTAATTTTGATGATCTTACGAGAACCGATGTTTCAACGTGATGTGGCCGTATACTTCGTTTTAGTCGTCCATGAATTGGATGAAAGAAGATATTGGTTCCTGTATCTTTTTTTTTTTTTTCGTGAAAAATGACGAACTGGTGCGTTACAAAGGCGTGGCATATTCAGTGATGCTAAGAACTCATTACACAATTGTAATAGCGTGTTAGATGTTCTTGCTTGCCGTGACACCACAGTAGCGAGCCTACTAAACAAACACCGGCTTAAAGTAAAGTTTAAATATGAAAGTTAAAAAATCTAGCCACAATTATTGTAGACAGAGGCTCGTAAAAGAAGCCAACTTGGTTTATATTTTCTTAAATTTTATATCATTTTGTTACTGTTATTTAATACTATCTTAACTCTATCTGTCTATATTTCTGAGATGTGGTATTGTAACTATTTATACTATTTACATCGTTCGGACTGTTGTTTTAATCTTTATTGCCATATCCACGACGGTTCGGCCGTCGTACGCCCCGGCCTTCTTCATGTGGCATACGTTGGAATTTCGAACCGAAATCAAGGACACATGGTCCAATGGATAAAATCGTTGGTTTGGTGACCCCAAAAGTGACTTGATCCAAAGAGTTTTGCGTTCAATACCTGGCTACAGCAGAGGGAACAAAAACTTGGAGACTTAAGTTACTAAAGGGAATTAACTGAAACTGAGATGGTCCACAAAAGGCATGGCACGTGGAATTAGAACTATCTACCCCTTTAGACTAAATAAAAGGTTCGGTTCGAAATTCCAACTTATATCATCTGAAGAAGACCGTAGTGTACAACGGCCGAAACGTCATGAATATGGCAATAAAAATGAGGACAACATTCTGAACGATGTAAATAATGTAAATAGCTTTACTTTATCTTCTTAATATTGAATTTTTTATTGTTATCACGACCTTCAATCGATAAACATTCGATTTCGACTGCGAGAACAAGCTGCGCAAAATCGGAAATAAATAAATAAAACAAGAAGATAGGGGAGTGGTAACATTCACGACACTGTAGGGGGAGATAGGGCGCTGAAGCCCCCTCGTTTATTGCTGGAACTGAAAACTAAACAGTGGACTATATTTCTGATATGAATCTAAGACAAATTGAGTTGTACCATTTGTCTAAAATCTTTATTGCCGTTAAGGAATTATTAAGCATTAATCGCATTTCTCATTTGTGGAAATCTCTTCTGGCTTCTTGATTTTGGGTGAACTTTGATTTTCAAAAATTTAAATGCTTTGTTTTTTTCTTTATCTTCTGTCTTATTAATTCTGTTCTTTCTCTCTCCTTAATAATGTTTTCTTTTTCTCATATTCTTTCACACTCAGTAACTCCTTGCATCTTACTGGCTTTATTGCCGTTCTTAGGGTGAAATGATTAAAAAAAATCAAAAATAACTTAAACATAACCTTCCTTATTTTTTTTTAAAGATTAGCTTCTAAAACTTTTATAATAAATGTTATATACAAAAAATGTCTCCAGATGTCATCCCAGAAAATAAGTAGCAAAAAATACAGCAGCAAAAAAAAAAAAAAAAAAAAAAAAAAGAAATGAATGAAAGGAAAAAAAAGTACATTTTAAAAAAGTGTTTATATTAGATATATCTAAAAAAAATACTCCTTTTAAGAGGCAGTCAATCCAGTGTTATACGTGATACAAGCTTTGGCGAACATGTCCCTTTCGATCCATGATTGATTCGGCAGATTTTCCCTCATTAGATTATCATTTATTTCTGCGGTAGGCTGGTTGCGAACCCCGTCGGTCCGGCTATTCAACCCGTAGCAGGAAGGAGAAGAGATGGATTCATACCTTTCCCAAGGATATTTGTGCGTGATGTAACGAACTCGACTTGAATCCGAACTCAGTATTTATCCAAGTCCTCCCCACAAAGCGGAATGCGGCATAAGGCCGGTTTTCAACGTGGGGCTTTCTGGGCGCGTACGCTCAGCAAAAATTCCCCATGGACCCCGCATACACAGGGTCGGGTAGCTGTCTACCTCTCCAGACGAGTCTCTGCCAGTGGTCGTAGCCAATTTCTATTATACCACCACGAACATCCACTCTGCGACATACTATCTTCAAAAATTTAAATGCAACATTTAGTTGCCATCTTCTGTCTTCCTGAATCCCATTCTTTTTTCTTTTTACCTCACTAATATTTTATCTTCTTTCACTCGCAGTAACCCCTTGTGTATTAGTGGAACTTTTGCTCAACTGAAATTCTAACTCAAACGAAAAAAATTATAGAAGAGGGAATCTTTAAAACTTATACTTTTATCTTTTGATTTAGCTCTAACACTAAAAAGAAAAAAAAGAAAAGTCATTGTAAATAGTACTATACTCGAGAATCTTTTGTAGCGTGGAAGGTTTCAAAATACACGCGATATTATAGTGGAATGAACAGTGAGAAGAACGATTGTGCCAGTAAATACGACTAAATTAATTTTACAAGAATAAAATGGTGATCATTATCTTTCTTTCCCTACCAAGACTTTCGACCATTTACAATACTTTTTTTTTTTTTTTTAAATAAATGAAGATTCGGCTGACTACTTTTCGTCTGCAGTCAAATCTTATTACAAAACTAGTCTTAAAGAAAAATGGCGGGAACAACAAAATTAATTATCGTCTCTGCTTTTCGAGGATCCTCACTTATAAAATATTGTCGTTTGTGAAAATTCTATCACTCGGGGATTGTATCATTGAAGTCTTAGTCATCAATTAAGGTGAGTGTTTACTTTTCTTTTATAGCAAATGGTTATTCACACTGACGTTTATTGCTTGTACATTAAACGAATATATGAAAATATATTAATCTGTAAGTAATGTTGGGATTTTTCAGATGAGAAGTTATCATTACGATATGCTTTATTACTTAAACCAGTGTACTTTTTTTCATTGGAAATATTTATTGAAGGATTTTTTTAAAATGTTGTTCTTATCACTCCTCGTTTACACAAATTGTACTTATGGAACTAGTTGACTTCATAGAGGTATTGTGGTGTGTGTAGTACGATAGATAAATATAAACTTGGTGTTTTGGTAAAAGGGAATTTATCGAATGTTTGCGTCAGCGATTGTGACTAAAAGATACGATAAAGACTAGTCCCCCCCCCATCTCATGCCAGTATTTTATTTACATTAGACCACCCATAAACCTGTTCTGTTCCTTTTAAAACCAGTTCATGGTACACAATTAGGTAACAATGTCAATTATATTATTAATTACACATTGTATTAATAATTACTCAGTAGACAAATATTAATTAGATCAAACGTAATAAGAAATTAATAGCAAAAGATAACTTTTTAAAGAATTGAATTTCAAACTGATATCACACTAAATACCATTCCATTCAAGTAATAGTAGGTACCTCCACGAGATCGCTAAAAAAAGAGCATAGAATGATGAAAAAGACGCCAAACTTGACGAAAACAAAATTTTATCGTCTAAATGTTTGTTATTCATTAAGAGGAAAGGTCAAAGTATTTTGGGGTATTTTTTTCATTTTTAATCGTTCCTAGCACGTCCGAAATTTTCGTTAAAAATCTAGTTTTTTGAGTCAGCAAAATTAACCATTTTTTTTCCATTTAAAAAAAAAAAACTGAAATCTGACTTTGAAATTTTTTAAATATCAATTATCATTTTTCAAAACTTATTTTAAGAAAATCAGAAATTATAATGTTTATTTAAAATATTTTGAACCAAACTTAACTTAGCTTTTGTGCCAAAAAGATGTAATTTGAAAATAAAACAAAGCAGGTCATAAACTTTCGCGTCTCTTGACATGTTATGAATGATATATTTACAAATTCCATGAGGCTAATTTGTTCTACGGAAGGAGAAAAGTGAAATAATTTACATTTACGTGAACAAATTATTTACCCCGTTATTTTTAACGAAAACTTTCAGCGGTCTAATTTTTTTTTTTTTTTTTTTTTGTACTTAGCTTTCACCTTTACGTTTATGATGCTTTATGGGAAATATATTCTAAAGAAATTAAAATAAAACTGTTAAGAGTGACATTAAATTTCATATTTCTTAAGAAAGGTATCTAATTAATTTATAGGTACATTTCTTATGAAATTTTATCAGAATTGTACATAAAATACTATAATTTTATGTACATTTATTACATTCTATTGTTATTTGTATTTTCATTCATTTTATTATTAATTTTGATATTTCATTTATGGAAAAATGTCGTAACTGAGATTAATATAAAAATAAGATCATATAAATTTCATAAGATGATACTGATACTTGTAGGTAACCTTCTCAGTTGAAATTGAAAAATCAAATTAACTTCTCCACACGTGTTTCGCAAAAGTAAAGGCCTTAACAGCGGAGAACAATGCTTAACTCAAATAACGCAACTTAATTATATTCTGGTTGGTCTTCCGTATTTTATAATTACAGCTCGATTATAAGTACATTTCTTAATTACTGGGGATCTTCTGATTAGTCAAAATGATACAATTTACAACGTACTAAAAAAAAAAAATCTATCTCATAAGGACACTTATGAAAGCCTGTGCGGATTTTAACTAATTTTATAATATTTTAACAACTTAAATGTAAAATCTATTATAATTAATGAAATAACAAATAATTGTATTAAAAATTCTTTTTTCATCGAAAAAAATTTTTTGCTTTCAGAAAATATTGTCCATATTCATAAAAACAACTAAAAGCAAATAAAAGCATTTGAAATTAAATAATATCTTTGTTTTATTGAGTTTTGTATGTTACAATTCAGAGCTGATTTTCAGGTACTGGGTATCCAATTAAAAACAAAAAAAAAACATGATTTGCATTCCTCAAAGCCCTGTGCTTTTAATTATTGTAATCACTAAAACCGATGCGATCGAATTTCTAGCGTTTTCATAAAATTAGTTATGGGGGGTAATAAATATTTTTTAAAAAATATTTCTACCATGACTTTCATAAAAAACATATTTATAATAATTTCGATCATCTGTGAATAGTTCCTGAAAGTTTCATTAACATCCG